ATTCAGACTCTTCAATGCCAAAACCTGTTTTCACTGCTTCCTCTCCTTTAATCCATGCCTATTGGCCTCTTAGGATGTTCCTTGTGGCCAGTTAACTAAGAAAAATACTGAAGCCTGTCACAGAGACAAAGAGATGGATCTATACAGTATGTTTGCACCACTCCAAAATGGGAATGTTGAAGCATACTATAGATCACTGAAGGAGCAGTCTACTGGAGAATGATGCAAAATACCCTCCTGGTGAACAGAAGTTTGAGTGGTATGTTTGGGTCATTCGTTGTATCTGATGTGAGTTTCAGAAATAAACATAGACACTGATTCATGAGAAGTTTTAAAAGTTTTGATGGTAAGGAGACTGGAAAGAAGATGAATGAAGACCAGTAAAGGAAATATAGGGTAAAAGGAATATGCAAGGACCTCTCTGTAAAGTAACATTAACTTGGAGATATTCAAAGTACTACACACCACAATAATGAAGGAAAATAACACATCCCATGAGTACGAATAATCTTTTTCTCCTTAGCTAGCCTAGTGCTTGCTCAATAAGACCATAGCAAGGTGGCCAGGGAGGCAGGGACAAAAGCCACCCACAACCTCAGCAACATTGATTTCTCCTTAATGAAGGTGGTATGGCTAATGCTTCTAATGAGTGTTGAATCTAACAAGAGCAAATGCCAGTCCTCAGTCCTTGGTAAGACATTATTTCTCTTGGGAATCTAGTGAAAAGGAGATTAAATTCGATTTTTTATGATAAGGAAATACAGATCCAACTTTACTGAATAGGCATATTCTACATATACAGTTGTCTTCTTCAGTAGTAATGCTTCCAGTATTACTTACTATCCATGGACTCACATAATACCTTATCCCCACACTCATGAAATGCGTGGATGATTACAACTGATGAAGGAACTGCAACAATGAGATTATGCCTGTGGAATTGATTGGTTATTAACTGATTATGAAACTACATTCTGTTCCACAGTCAAAATGCAAGTGTTGGAAAATCAAGGCGTCATGTAGGAATAGACCTACTCAACATCATTCCAATTGCTCATTTATAGACTTTTAAAATTCTCACCTTAGAAACTTTGAACTTTGTTAGCTTATAGATATTAGTATTTATGAGCAGTTCATATTTAAAACAAGAGTCACAAGAATTACTATGATATCCCAGCACTTATGAGGCTGAGACAGGAGGATCAGAAGTTCAGAGCCAAGTAGTGCTAATTAGTAAGTTCCAGGACAGCTAGATAGCAAAACCCTAACTAAAAAATAAAACACACACACACACACACACACACACACACACACACACACACACACACACACCCCAAGGATCAAATCTTGTGAGTCAGAAAAATCCATATAAAATGTATAAACATGATATAACTGTACATTTATTAAATTCTTTTAATTTTTGTACTGTAAATTTCACTTAATTGATTTAACAATAGCCAGAAATACTTCAGTTTCTTAGCATATCTTATATAGAAATGGTAATAGGAGTAGTTTCAAAGCCTAGCATGGACTACGATAACGCTTTAAAATTAAGAATAGAAGTAATTTGGGGAAATAAATGCCTTGTCTAGCAATACTGATGATCAGCAATGATTAGATTGTTTTAGGAAAAAAAGGAAAAAGATAACTTTTGGATGGCTTCAAGTGAGCTTATAGTTTTTGGTTTTTTTGTTTGTTTGTTTTCGAGACAGGGTTTCACTATGTAGCTCTGGCTGTCCTGGAGACCACCATGTAGAGCAGGGTGTCCTCAAACTCACAGAGATAACGGCTGCCTCTGCCTCCAGAGTGTTGGAATAAAAGGTGTGTGCCACCACACCTAGCTGACAATTTTGTTTTGACAGAAAAACATAATCAGGTATTTTCTACAAATGAAAGTTCTCAGATAATCTTTATGTAAAATAAGACTACTGAACAGAAGGTTGTGGCATGATGTCTCAGAGAGATGAGGTTTTCTATTTCAATTCATGTATGTATGTATATATGTATGTATGCATCATATTGTCCAAATAACTTCCTTATAAAAATGAAACCCATTTTTTTTTTTTTTTGGTTTTTCGAGACAGGGTTTCTCTGTGTAGTTTTGCGCCTTTCCTGGAACTCACTTGGTAGTCCAGGCTGGCCTCGAACTCACAGAGATCCGCCTGGCTCTGCCTCCCGAGTGCTGGGATTAAAGGCGTGCGCCACCACCGCCCGGCCCCATTTTATTATGTCCATTTATTTCTATATACAGAAAACCTTCTCAAGTGATAGGACTTCTTTGCCACTAAATATCATGTGCATTAGTAAAGACAGAATTCTATAAACATAACTTTACCCATTGAGTGTACCTCGTATTGACACTGTACATTGTCATAATCAGGAAATGGATATTGTTACAAGATGGTTACAGAAAAACCTCTCACCATAGTCAGGTCATTAGTAAGCAGTTCCTTAAACCTTAACAGTCACATTTCAACCTCAATCAACCTACTTCAGTCACTGGATTTCCTCACTTTGAGGATGTTATATAAGCAGAATCACAGTATATTCAACTCGATGAATTATATAAATTTTATGCAACATGATGTCCTTGAGATCAATTCAGATTGCTGAAAAGTACCATTAATTTTTTTAATTTCTTTTAGTTTTCTATTGTATAAATCAAAATAAACAAATGGAAAGCTATAAAATCATTTGAAATCACACATAAAGTTATCTTTTTCCTCTTTTCAAAAACAACCTAATTTTGGCTGATCATCAATATTTATAGACAAGGCATTTATTTCCCACGGTAAAATATTTGGTGTTTTACCAGTTTTGTCCTTTTAAAAAAAGGTTTTATGAGGGCTGGAGAGATGGCTCAGAAGTTAAGAGCACCGACTGCTCTTCAAGAGGTCCTGAGTTCAATTCCCAGCACCCACATGGTGGCTCATAACCATCTGTAATGAGATCTGGCGCCTTCTTCTGTGTACATAATAAATAAATCTTTAAAAAAAAGGTTTTATGAACATTCATGAATTGGTTTTTAAGTAAATTAAGTTTTCATTTCTCTAGGGTAAATACACAAAGCTGGGTCATTTATTAAATCCATGTTTGATGTTATAAGAAAATAAAAAAAATTCCAAATAGCTGTATCATTTTACATTTTCATCAGCAATACAGAAGAGAACATGAGCCACGTCTCTGCCATGACTTGGTATTAGCAGTATTTGTTATTCCATTTATTCAGATAGGTATATATTTTACTGCAGCCTTGCTTTGCATTAGTCTAATGGTTAATGACAAGGAAAATATTCATGTGATTACTGGGTATCTACATACACTCCCTTAATGAAGTCTCTTTTTTGTATTTTTTGGCAATTATACAATTGAATAATTTCATTATTTTCAGCTTAGAGAATGTTTTATATATTTTAAATACATCTCTTTTTACAGATTGTGATTTGAGTTTTTTCTAGTCTATAGTTTTATCTTTTCCATTTACCACAGTGGTTTACAAAGCAAAACTTTTTAGGTTTTATTGTCTACTCTGTCAAGTTGTTCTTTGTGAGCTATGCTTTTGATAACACTAGCAAGTCCCTTCCCTTCTTTACCCTGTCTCTGAAGTCTTCTGGTATATGGTTTATTTGTTCTGTCCAGGAGTCTCTGTTGCAATGCTACTATCAGCAAACAACAACAACAAAAATACTTGCAAGGATATGGAGAAAAGGTAACTGTAAACATAGTTGGTAGGCATAAAAATCAGCCCAGCCAAAACAGTGCTAAAGACAAATGTGTTTATTCCATCTTGCCTAGAATTCAAACCTAAAAACAAGTTGTGTTTGGCTCAATTCAAATTCTGCAACTTATTTCTAGTGTATAACTATGAAAATTTTATCATTCTCTATTCTGTGTCTAAATGGGCTTATTGTTTTTTCTTTATTTTTGTTTGTTTGTTTGTTTTTTGAGACAGGGTTTCTCTGTATAGCTCTGACACCTTTCCTGGAACTCACTCTGTAGACCAGGCTGGCCTCAAACTCACGGAGATCCACCTGCCTCTGCCTCCCGAGTGCTGGGATTAAAGGCGTGCGCCACCACTGCCCGGCTTCTTTATTTTGGATTTTGTTATCCCTAAAGGCCAAGGTACTGAAAGCCTGGTTCCTCTCACTGAGAGGATCCACTCACTGAGAGATAAGAGGATCATGACAAGCTCCGACCCACTTAATAGATTATCCACCGACAGATCATGAAGTTAGAGAAGTGGGCCTGACTGAAGAAGTCAGTCATCAGAAAAGTGCCTTTGAATAGTATATCCTGGTTTTGGCACCTTCCAATTCATTTCTTTTTCCCTGCAATCTGCCATTTTCTTCCATTATATTCTTTCTGCCAGGATACATTATTATGCTCAGGCCCAGATGCAATGGAGCTAAGGGGACCATGAACTGAAAGTGCTAAAACCATGACCTGTAATAAATCTTCCTTTTTTGAAAAGATTTCCATTTCTTTCTTTTAAGTTGTCTTGTCACAGAGAAGACAAGTAACTAACATAGGTTTCTAATAAATTTTTAATTAATTGCTGACTAACAAAGTGTTATATATGATATATTCATTAAGTAGTACAAGAAACCATTAATACAATTTCTTGGCCTAAATCACTATTAGGATGATAAACAATAAAAATTAGGAAATTCCTAAGTGTTTTAATCATTCAATAAACACCTGTTTATAAAAGCATATATGAATATGCAACTTATAGGACAGGTAAGATTCACGGTCATGGAACTTCAATTCTAATGATCAAATTAGGGCAAAGGTGCTGTATGTCTTAAAATATGAAAACTGTGCTCTGTTTAGGTTCAAAAAATTTAGTTTGTTACATTCCAACTGATAATCAGAACATATATTTAGAAACTGGAAAGATTTTAAAATTTCAAACTGAAGAATTGTCACCAAGGCAGACTTTCTTTTCACTTTGGTACAAAAGAACTTTACAGCTCATGAAATGATTATGAACTACTTACCACATATAGTTGTTTCCACAGACTGGCCCATTCCTGTAGAGTTGTTGTAACTTCTGTCACGATAGAATCTTCGAGTGGAACCACGGTTTCATACTGCCTAGAAACAAAAATCACCACAGCCACATTATCTTTGATAAAATCTTAGATGACATCTGCTACATTTTTCAATGATCTAAACTCAAATTTTAAAATCATGAAAACATAAAGAGAAACACACCTAACTATTCAGACACCTTTATATAGTGATAGCATACAATGGTGTAACTGAGCTAAATTAATGTAAAAATATTTGGTTTTGTTACATAATTTCCAATTGCTTTTAGAAAAGCTGCCTAGAGGCCAGGCGGTGGTGGCTCACGCCTTTAATCCCAGCACTCAGGAGGCAGAGGCAGGCAGATCTCCGTGAGTTCGAGGCCAGCCTGGTCTTCAGAGCGAGATCCAGGAAAGACACAAAGCTATACAGAGAAACCCTGTCTCAAAAAAAAAAAAAAAAAGAAAAAGAAAGAAAGAAAGAAAAAAGAAAAGCTGCCTAGAAAACATTGAGATTTTTTTTGTTTGTTTTGATTTTCTAGCATCATCTTAAAACATTAAGTTTTTTCTTCTAGAAAAACCATAACACTACAAAATTCTTGCTTAGTGTAGTAGTTTTAATGTAATTAACCTCCATAATCTCATAGGGAGTAGCAAGCATTAATAGGAGATGTGGCTTTGTTGGAGTGGGTATGGCCTTGTTGGAAGTGTGTCACTGTGCGGGCAGGCTTTGATTTTCCTATGCTCAGGATACCACCCAGTGTTGCAGTTGACTTCCTGATGACTGCAAGATGTAGGACTCTCAGCTATTTCTCCAGTACCATATCTGCCTACATGCTGCCATATTTCCCGCCATGATGATGATGGACTGAATCTCTGAAATTGTAAGCCGCCACCTCAATTAAATGTTTTCCTTATGAGAGTTGCCATGGTCATGGTGTCTCTTCACAGCAATAGAAACCTACTAAGACACTTAGGTAATTTTTAAAAAAAAACATTTTCTGTAATGCAAAGTAGCTCTTTGCTAAAAGAGCTAAAAGGATTCAAAGTCCCTAGCACAATGCTTAGTGATGGTATTCTTCTCCTTAAGCCAGGCAGGTAAAATTGGAGGTGACTTTACATTCAAAACAGAAATGGGAAAACAGAAATGGAAAGCTTCAAGGAACACACACACACACACACAAAAATTAAAATGATACAACTGAAGTTATAAAATAACATGCTAATAATCAATACCAAGTAAATGAAGATTTATGAATTTCAGAAAAATATTTCAAAATGATTATGCTAAGAAATTTAAATTAGCTAAAATAGAAAACAAGAGTTGGCTGGCAGGGCTTGGCATTTGTGAGGGTGATCCAGGTTAATGGCATGAAAGATAGAGTGAAAGGGGAGGCCCATTCATATAAGAGTAACATGCCGTCAGATTTAAACCCTGCTGGATGGAGGGCATTTTCTTACTAGACCAAGTAGCTTCCCATTACATCTAAAGCTAAAGGACCACTAGATTATATGACCCCAATTAAAGGCTGTAGCAGGCAATGGTATTAATGAATTAAGCTCAAAACTATAGGATTTGTTTAGCTGCCATTTGAACAAATGATCTTAAGTAGAGATTAAGTCCCAAAAGGTCTTCTGCAGGGGATGTAACTTAGCAGTACTGTGTTCATTCAAGACCTGCAAGGTAAGCCTAAATAAGGCAAATATCAAATGTGTCTGTTAATCTACTATAGATATATTTAGGCAATAAGGAAATAGTCTGCTTTGTTTTCAACTTTAATAAAAACCCTGACCTAGAATAAAAAAAGGAAAGAAAACAAGCAAGTCAATGAAATAAGGGAGATGGTGTACAAACAAATGAGAAACTTGGGGAGTGGGAGTGGGACTCAGTGGTAGAGTGCCTGTTCAGAACATCAATGGTCCTGAGTTTCATCTTCAACAGATTTTTTAAAAAATTTAAAATAAGCTTTACAAGATAGACAAAAGAAATGAAGAGAAAGAAAAGAATACTATTAGTTCTTAAGTTGAAGAAATCCTAGAGTCTACCGAAATAAACCTGTTAGAACTAATAAATTAATTTGGTAAAGTTGCAGGAGACAAAACCAGCATACCAGTACCATTTTTATAATTAGCATTTAGCTATGTAAAAATAAATTTTGAAAATATCACTTACAATGGTTGAGAATGTAACTTGATGATAAGATAAAGTATGTGAGATCTATCTAATACCTAATACCATAAAAATTATATTTATAGTAGCATCAAAAATAAAAAACTTAATGAATATGAACACATTTCTAATAAAAATACATGAGACAGACATAAACAGATGCATTAAAACATCCAAATTCAATAATCATACAAAAAATTCAATCAAAACCACGATGAGATATTATTTCACACCTTTTAGGAAGATATATCAAACGGCCAAAAGGTAAGGAGTAATGAGAAAAATATGGAAAAAAAAGAGAGCCCTTTTATACTTGCTGGTAGAAATGTAAATAGTTATAGCAATAATGGAAAACAATAGAGAGGTTCTTCAAAAAATAAAAATGAATCATCAGATGACTTAACAATTTCACTTCTGAATACATATCCAAAGGAAATTAAATCACTATCTCAAATATTTACTCTCAAGTCTAGTGACACATCCTTCATAACAGGCAAGATATAAAAAAATATTAAAAAGTTTGTCAATGGCTAATGAGATGGCTCAGTAAGTAAAATGTTTGCCACACAGCATGAAAACCAAAGCTTGGTCATAGAACTCAAAAAGCTAGATGTGGAGGCATGTGCTTTCAATTCCAGCACTAGAGAAGCAGACACAGGTGGATCCCAGAGCTTACTGTCTTGCCAGCCTTGCATAACTGGTGAACCCCTGGTCTCAATGAGAGACCTTGTCTCAAAAAATAAGGTAGTCTGCTGCACTGGAATATGTAGATCTTGCTGTTATAGGATACCTGGGATGATTCCTAATGATAATTCTGTTAAACTCATAGATTGGTGCCTAACCCAACAGTTATTAGAGAGGCTTCATCTAGCAACTGATAGGAAGCAGATGCAGAGATCCACAGCCAAACATTAAGCAGAGCTCAGAGAACCCAGCAGAAGAGGGGGAAGAAGGATTGTAGGAGCCAATGGAGTCAAGGACACCACAAGAAAACCCACAGAATCAACTAACCTGTGCTCATAGGGGCTCACAGGGGCTCACAGAGACTGAGCCAACAACCAGGGAGCCTGCACAGGACTGACCTAGCCTAGGTCCTCTGCATACATGTTAGCTGTGTAACTTGGTCTTCTTGTGGGACTCCTAACCATGGGGGCAGGGACTGTCTTTAACTCTGCTGCCTGCTATTGGGGGACCCTTTCCTCCTACCAGGTTGCCTCATGCAGCCTTAATGGGAGACGAAGTGCCTAGGCTCACTGCAATGTGATATACCATGGCTGGCTGATATCCATGGAAGGCCTGTACTTTTCTACAGAGAAATGAAGGAGGAGGAGTGGATGGAGTGGGGAAAGAGAGGAAGTGGAAGGAAGGGACTGGGAGGAAAGGGGGGAGGGGAAACTGCAGTTGGGATGAAAAGACAAAATAAATAAATAAACAGACAAAAAAACCCAAAAAAAGGTTATCAGCTCCTAAGGAGCAATAGCAGAGGTTGATCTCTGGCCCCACACATGCACTTGTATACACACAAACAGCTCGAACACACACAGAGGTCAGGAGATGAATAAAGAAAATGTAGTGTATACATATTAACAGAATTTTACTCAGCCTTAAAGAGAATAATATCCTAACATTTGTGACAACATGCAGAACCTGAAAAATATTATGCTAAATGAAATAAGTCAGAGAAAGATAGACATTGCATATACTTATGGGACCTATAAAAGACAAATTAACAGAAACAAGGTACAAAGCTGATTTACCAAGAATGAAGAAAATGGGGAAATTCAATTATAAGATGAATAAACTCCAGAGACCTAATGGCTGGCATGGTTACTACAGTTGAAAATAATACCTTATAAACTTCAACTTTGCTGAAAGATTTTTTTATTTTCAAAGATTTTATTATTTTTTATTTTTATTTATTTATCCTTTCAAAAGTTTTTTCATTTTACATACCAATCCCAGTTGCCCCTCCCTCCACTTCTCCAGGCCTTCCACCTCCCCCCATCCCACCCCCATCCACTCCTCAAAGAGGGTAAGGCCTCCCTTGGGGAGTCAACAAAGTCTGGCATACTAAGTTGAGGCAGGACCAAGCTCCTCCCCCTGTGTCAAGGCTGAGCAAGGTATCCCACCCTAGGGAATGTGTTTCAAAAAGCCACTGCTGAAAATTTTTTTTTAAGTATTCTTTTTTTCTAGCCACACACAAATAACTTAACAATATGAGGTGACAGATATATTAATTATCTTGGTTCTGATAATCATTTCACGATGTACACTTTAAATATACACGGTTACACACTAATAAAACTTCAAGAAAAATGTCATAGATTTCATACTAAAGAATTATTTAAAGGAGAAAAAAACAATAAAATATAAATCTACTTTTCCTGCCAGCACCAAGCTAGCAAATCCCAGATAGCAATGAATCGAACTATGACTATAAAAGTTCTGAAATTAGAATGTTTTAACTGGATTTTTTTAATTATCAAGACATAGTGATTTCAGATAAGAAAATCAAGGATAAATGTCATACTTGATAAAAACTACTGAATGAAGACATCTTTTACTTTTTTTCCAAGCTAGAATAACTTGATGAAAGTGAACAACTGAAAGCAAATGACAATTTTGGAAGTTAATTCTATAGACTGTCTTAAGAATGTTGCAGAGATGTGTGACAGTTGTGTAGCTTGGTCTGTTTGTGGGGCTCCCCAGCAGTGGGTTCAGGACCTGACCCTGGCACTTGACTTGGCTTTTGGAAATGTATTCCCCATCCTGGGTTGCCTTGCCCAGCTTTGAGGCAGGGGGAGGAACTTGGTGTGCCTCAACTTGGTGTGTCATGCTTTGTTGACGCCCATGGGAGGCCAGTCCCTTTCTGAATGGAGACAGAGAAGTGGATGAGG